AGGATCAAAGCTAGTGATAATGAAAGAAAAGAATCTTTAAAAATAACAAGGCAGCATGAAATGACAATACAACAGCTTCAAGATGATACAAAGAGAAATAATATAAGGCTGATAGGCATCAGTGAAGATACAGGGGTCAATGCAAATGACATAGAAAAACTATTTGCAGAAGTAATAGCAGAAAATTTCCCAAACATGGGAAAAGATAAGTGAGGCATATAGAATGCCAAAAAGTCAAACCAAAATAAACCTACACTCAGACATATAATAATTAAGATCCCAGACATGCAACATAAAAACAGAATACTAAAAGCCGTTAGAGAAAAGACACAACTCACCTATCTAGGAAAGCCTATTAGAATCATGGCAGACTTCTCATCACAAACCTTCAAGTTAGGACAAGCTTGGAGTAAAGCATTTAAAGCCCTGAAAGAAAACAACTTTCAACCCAGATTTATGTACCCTGGAAAACTTTCTTTGAAATTTAACGGAGAAATAAAATACTTCTATGACAAAGAACAGCTGAAGAAATTCATGTCCACCAAACTAACCGTAGAAAGAGTACTGAAAGACAGACTAGAAAGCAATAAAAATGACTACAATTCACAGAACAACAATAGAAACAATAGAAACACCAGACAAGGCAAGCAATTAAACAAGGGGGAAAAGCAGAAAACCAACAGCAGGAAAATAACATGACAAAGTTGAGCCAGTATGTATCAGTTATATCCATCAATGTAAATGGCCTCAATTCACCTATTATAAGAAATAGGTTGACAAAATGGGTCAAGAAACTGGATCCAATAATATGCTGTATATGAGAAACACATCTGACTCAAAAGGAAACTCATAGACTAAGTCAAAGGATTGAAAGCAGTATTCCATGGGAACCCAGAAAAAAAGCCGGGGTAGCTATTGTTTGCAGACAATATGAACTTGAAACCAAAAATGATCAAAAGAGATAAAGAAGGTCACTACATACTTGTTAGGGAAATAATTCAAAAGGAAGAGCTAACAATCATAAACATATATGTATCAAATATAGGAGCACCCAAATATATAAGACAAATACTAATACATATGCAAAACCAAATAAGCAACAATGCAATTGTAACAGGAGACCTTAAAACCTTATTGTCACAAAGAGATAAATCAACTAGACAAAAAATTGACAAAGAAATAACAGAACTGAATCAAGCCTCTGAACAAATGGATTCAGTAGATGCTTACAGAGTGTTCCACCAATCATATCAGAATACATATTAATTTCAGCTGTGCATGGGACATTTTCCAAAATAGACCATATATTAGCCCATAGAACATTCTTAAGTAAATGTAAAGGGATTGATTTTATTCCATGCATATTATCTGACCATATGGCAATGAAATTGGAAATTAATGACAAAAGAAATTGTAAAACCTGCATGAATATATGGAAATTAAATAACCTCTTGAACAATTAATGAGTTACAGATGAAATTTAAAAAGAAATTAAGCAATAACTATAATTCAATGATTGCAGATAGAACATAATGAAACCTGTGGGACACAATGAAAGCAGTCCTAATAGGGAAATATATAGCATAAATTGTCACATCAAGAAAACAATGAGCACAACTAAACAATCTAATGCTACACCTCAAGCTTCTAGAAAAAGAAGAGCAAGTGAAACTCAAAGCTCATGGAAGAGAGGAAATTGTAAAGATCAGAGCAGAAATTAGTGCAATTAAGACTAAGAAAACAATACAAAGAATTAATGAATCAAGTAGTTTTTGAGAGAATAAACAAAATTGATAATCCTTTAGCCAACTTTATCAAGAAAAGAAATAAAAAACTTAGATTAATGCAATAAGGACTGAAAAAAGAGAAATTACTACAGATCCCATAGAACCTCAGGAGATCATGAATACCTACTTTGAAAATCTTTACTCACATAGGGTGGAAAATATAGAGGAAATAGAGATTTCTAGAAACATATGAATTACCAAAGCTGACTCAAAAAGATATAAAAATTTTTGAATAATCTAATATCAACTACTGAAACTGAAAATGGGATTACAAATTTTGAACAAGGAAAAGTCCAGGTCATGATGGATTCACAGCTGAATTCTATAAAAAATTTAGAGAAGATTTAACACCAATACTCCTCAAACTCTTCAATGAATTGAAATGTAAGCAATCCTCTCTAGCTCATTCCTGAAGGCAAGTATTACTCTGATAACCAAAACCAGAGAAAGACTCAACAAAAAAGAACTATAGGCCAATTTCACTAATGAACATTGATGCAAAGATTTTCAATAAAATACTGGCAAATAGAATGTAGCAAATCATCAAGAAATTTATACATCATGACCAAGTGGTATTTATCCCAGGAGGGCAGGGATGGTTTAACATCTGGCAAATCAATAAATGTAATACACCACATCAACAGACCCAAAGACAAAAATCACATGATGATCTAAATAGATTCAGAAAAAGCTTTGGATAAAGCCCAACACTTGTTCATGATAAAAATCTGACAGAAACTCAGAATAGGTGGTATCTACCTTAATCTGATAAAGGCCATCTATGACAAACCAACAGCCAACATTACACTAAAAGGACAAAAACTGAAAGCTTTCACTTTAAAATCAGGAACAAGACAAGGATGTCCACTATCATCACTCCTATTCATATATTCAATATAGTTCTGGAAACATAAGCCAGAACAGTCAGAGAAAATCAGGAAATAAAAGAAATAAGGATAGGAAAGGAAAAAATTAAAATATATTTGCAGATGAAATGATAGTCTACATAGAAGACCCTAAAACTCCATCAAAAGACTACTAGAGTTAATAAATTCAGGAGTGTAGCTGGATACAAAGTCAACACTCAAAAATTAATATCATTCTTGTACACAACCAACAAACTCACTGAGAGGGAAATTATGAAAATAACACCTTTCATAATAGTACCCAAAAAAATGAAATACTTAGGAATCAACCTAACAAAAAGTGTAAAAGACCTATTTGCTGAAAATTATACTACTCTAAAAAAGGAGATTAAAGAGGATAGTAAAAAATGGAAGGCTATTCCTTGTTCTTGGTTAGGAAGAACCAACATTGTGAAAATGGCCATATTCCCAAAACTGTTACACAGATTTAATGTAATCCCAACCAAAATATCATTGACATACCTTACAGATCTAAAGAAAACATTCCTAGAATTCATTTGGAAACAGAAGAAACCTAGAACAGCAAAGGTAATTTCTGGGCAACAAAAGCAATGCATGCAGGAGGCATCTCAACACCTGACTTGAAATTATACTACAAAGCTACAGTGATAAAATCAGCATGGTACTGGCAATGAAATAAACCTGAGGGTCAATGGCACAGATTAGAAGATGCAAACACAACGAGAAAGACATGCAGCCACCTTATATTTGACAAAGAAGCAAAGATTTTAACTGGAAGAAAGATAGCCTCTTTAATAAATGGTGCTGGAAAAACTGACTTTCCACATGCTGAAGACAAACTAGACCAATGTCTATCACCATGCACCAAATTAAAGTCAAAATGGATCAAAGATCTAAATATTAAAATAGAAACCCTAAATCTACTAGAAGACAAGGTAGGTAGAAATCTTGAAGACATAGGGGTCAGCAAAGAGTTCATGAACAAAGCGCACACTGCACAGGAAGTATTTCAAAGAATCAACAACTGGATCTCATCTTATTAAAATGTTTTTGCACATCAAAAGAAATCACCAACAAAGTGAAACGAAAACCCACAGAATGGGAAAGAATTTTAGCCAGCTGTCCCTCAGACAAAGGACTTATACCCAGAACATATAAAGAATTGAAAAACATCAAGTTCTCCAAATGCAAAGACCTACTCCAAAATGAGCACCTGAGATGAACACACCTTTCTCAGATGAAGACACACAAATGGCAAATAAACAGCTGAAGAAAAATTCACCATTACTGCTCATTAGAGAAATGCAAATTAAAACAACATTGAGATTCCATCTCACTCAGAAACAATGGCTGCCATCAAGAAATCAGCCCATAACAAATGTTGACAAGGCTGTAGGAAAAAGGAGCACTTCACTGTTGGTGGGAGTGGAGACTGGTGCAGCCACTGTGGAAATCAATATGGACGTTCCTCAAACAACTAGGATTGGAAGTTTCATTCAATCCAGCTACTCTCCTCCTGGGTGCTTTCCCAGAAAAACTGAAAATGTCACACAGTAATTAATATATGTGCACCTATGTTTATAGCCGCACACTTTGGAATAGCTAAATCTTGGAAACAACCCAAATGCCCATCAACTGAAGAATGGATGAAAAGATGTGGTTTTTTTTTAATACTATTGCATATTATTCAGCTATAAAAAGATGATATTGAGGCTTTTATAGGTAAATGGAGGCAACTTGAGATTATCCTCATAAGTGAAATAAATCACATTTGTAAATATTCTCTCTAGTGTAAAAAAAGTAGTAATAATAAAAAAGAAAGAGTAACAAGATCCCGAATGTACAATAGATATTACAATAATGAAAGGGAAAGAAAGTACTCAAAAGAAAAAAACAACTTATAGGTATACACATATAACTATATGTATGTTTAAGTGTGTAAGATAAATAACCATACTACTAATTCTCTATTAGTTCAGCAAAAAGAATAGTTTGTGCTATCATTGTTTGATTGTTCATCTTTTATTGTTAGATTTTGTAACTTGAGCAACTACTTCTAAGATAACAATATGTAATCAATTAACTAGTGTTGATTTCTTACTGTTATTTTCTGAAATTCTGTATTATGTCTACCTTTTTTCTGTTTTGCTTTTTAGAAATAAAAAAGAGTGCATAAATGAATGTTGACTGTATCATTTATTACAGACTCCAAAAGAAAACAACTGCACTGTCCATCAACTGATTAAATAAAAATATGCAATAAACAGAGTGGTATAGCCATACAATGGGATATTATTTAAAAAAACAAAGAACGAAGTACTGATACCTGCTACATAGATGAAACTTGAAAGCATCAAACGAAAGAAACCAGAGGTAACAAACAGTGGCATATCACATGAAGAGTTCAATGTACAACGACAGGGAGCAGATCCGTGGTTGGCTGAGGATGGGGAAGGAAGGGTAGTCTCAGTTGAAGGCCCAGAGTTTCTATGCCATGCAGAAAAAACAAAACAAAACAAAACATAGATCTGCATTCTTTAAAGTGACAAATTTTATATTGTTTATGTTAATAAAAATTCCAAATAAAGTCTCATACAAACAAGAAACAGTGTGTCATCTAATAAAAGTATTCAGAAGGGCAGCTCCATTTTCATAAAAGAGACAGGATGACAAGCTGATCAGTGACACAGCCTGCCCCTTGGCTGTTCCATTTCCATTCCTAGCCTTTACATATTTGAAAACAAATTTCTGTACAAGTGTGAATGGGTTCACAGGGTTTGCTTATATCCTTACGTCTTTCCCTCTTTTCACTTTGAATGAAACTTGAATTCCGAATTCTTTTGGATTCGCAGCCACCACACAGGAACAGGGGAATAAGTTAGACCCAGCTTTTGTATCTTTAGTGAGGCTAGAAACATAGATGAAAAAGAATGAGGTGAGTAGTATGAGAGAGACAACCAGAGGAAACCCTGGTTTGTGTCTCCACCTGGGATCAAAAGGGAACTGCATTCAGCTGCGCTGGGTTCTGAGTATAAAGGGAATATAGAAAATACGGGGCCCTCTTGTTTTTCTCTGATTGTTTTCTGGACAAAATCTACCAATTCTTATCCTTCCTTGGTAAGGCTAGACTGTACAAAAATGGTAGAGAACCCAGAGCTGTGGCTTTAGATGGAATTTTCTAGAACAGAGTGTTACCTGTATTTTTGCCTATGCCGGAGGGCTTAAAGAGAATTTCTTTGGAAACATTTGTTCTTTCGGTCTCCCCCTGAGTATTTGATGTTTCCTTTCCCCTGAGAAATCCATATATATGGATATATATATAGCCTGAGTTAATCCATGTCATGAGTAAAGACCACAGTAGGTCTGTTATCTTACTCCCTAAGAAGTTAAGAGTTGTGTGTTCATCTGGGACCCATGAAGTAGTGAGGGTTTCATCACAAGAGAATCTCTTTCTCTGGCGGAGAAGTAACAAAACAAATGGCTTGGCACTCAGTTCTCTCCCTGAATCTCTCAGTGACCTGGCCAACTCGTCTCCATCCCACAAGCATTCAGTCCTCCCAAGCAGCAATAGGGCGTCTTTGTCCAACGTTGGTCTCTCTGGTATTGTGTCACTCCACACTACAGTAATTCTCCAGAAAGAGCTGCATGGTCACGGACTTCGCAGAAACAGGCTTCAGGAATTTTCTTTCCAACTAACCCTTTCATGATTATGGGAATGCTGTCCATTTGAATATCCTGCAGTAAAAGTTTAGACTGTAGCCTTATGTGGGCAAGCACTGGGTGAGTGGAAGAGCACGGAATTACAAGTATTCAATGTCTGTTTTAGCTAAGACCTTCAGTTAACTGGAATTTTCCTCTTTTCAAATGGGATGACATTTCAAGAATTCATGCCAAGGATTTTAAAACAATTTTCATGGTATTTTGTGGGGTCTGTTTATCTTCTAAATCTTTTGTTTCCATAGAGATACAGCCGTTGTTTAAAAAGATAAACCTAAGGAACTAGAAAATTTCCAATTACCAAAAGAAAGAATTCAAGTGTGGTCATTCTAATATTACACTGAGTAACAACACACAGAAGATAGTTGATTATTGTTAAAAAATATTCCAGTGATAGAAATTTAACTGGGAAAATTTTGGTTAGTGTTTAATTCTACAGTGCAGTTGATTTAGGTCATGAACTTTTTGAATAATTGAAACTTTATGAAGATTCACATATAAAGCATGTATATATATACACTTTTGCATTCCTAGAAATATTCATTTGACAGTAAGTTCCTTTCCTTAAAAATGTGGTGTGTGATTGAGTTACAATTTTTTTCTTTCAGTGAAAGCATTCATTCAAAAACTGTGCTGTTTTAATCTGGAAATATTATTTGATCCTTGCTTTGTTGAAGGGACCCTGCCCTGGATCCCTCAATAGAGCCCACTTGGCTTCCACTGGCCAAAATCCATCCATTAGGAGGCTCCTCTGGCAGTTCATGGGTGCAAATGTGGGGACAACAGGAGAACAAAGGGGCACTACCAACTCGGTCCCACCCACTTGCCAACAGGCTCAGCTCACAAATCTTGTGATTAATCACGCCCCTTCATCTACTCTTTGTTTACATTTGACAGAGTCTCACTGAACAGAAAACAGCTAAAGTAGCAAGGAGAAGCAAATTTGGCAGAGTCCTTTAATTAGAAGCTAATGATTATGTTCACTTGGTAGTGTTTTTACCATAGTGACATTATTTATTAGGAATTCCTTTGGTGAGAATGTGGGTGCTTTTTATACTTTCAGCAACATTTCTCGTCTATTATCACTAAATAATCTTTAGTTCTTGTAAATCCCTTTGCAAAGCCTTCTTATAAAAGAACTTAAAAAGAAATAAATCCTCTGAGATATTACAGGATTCTTGCTGTGTGCCTCCCATAGATTTGGTTGAGAGTTGCTCAGCTTAAACCCTGTACATTGCTTTGAAGATCCAAATCATGTGCCTGCAATTCAAGAGGGGGAAAAAACCAAGCATAAATATTTGTTAGAGAGCTGACATCTGCATCAGTTGTGATAGTTTTTGCTGTAGAAAAGGAGGAGAGAGTAAAACTCTGCTGTTTATTTGTAGCCGTCTTTTGGGAAACTATTACAGTCTATTTGTTGGGTTCAAGGAATGAGAATTCACCTTGGAGAGCATGAATTGCACAGAGGTATAGGACTCCGGGTGGAGATTAAAATGAGAAGAGAACATACATACTTCTTTGACATCTAGCTTTAACTATTAAGAAGTAACTGAGGCTTGGGGTGTAGCTCAGTGCTGGAGAGCTTGCTATTTCAGGCAAAGTCATGAGTTTGCTCCCCAGCACCAAAAATAATATTTTAAAGTAACAAATTTGCCCAAGAAAGTCTCTGATATGTAGCCTTGTCCCCTAAAGGGCACGTGTGAACACCTGCCACGCACGGGCTTTCTGCAGCTGCCAGTGATTTCAGCTTCCTAAGTGATGGCCTTGCAGCTGCCAGATGAGCCACTTTCTTGATTACAGAGTTCCTATTTTTAATCAGTCTTGCAAGAAATTACGAGCATCTCTTATTGACTTGGTTTTGAAACATTTCCTGAATAAGTTTATTTTTTTAGCAGAGAAAATAAATTATAGATGACATTATCTGTGTACTTCAGAAACATCCTCCGCTGGACCTTGGACTCCTCCTGTTATGCTTGGTAATAATGTGGGAATGGAATGTTTGACAAAAGTCCTCAGTCTCTCACTACCGGTAAACATTTACGTGTAAATTTCTTTCTTTGTTGCAGAAGCCATGTAAGTAATCTAGTAAGTGAAATTTTCCTGAGTGGAGAAAAGTAACATCATAGAGCTTTCTGCTGAGGTGCTAGTGTGGTCAGAAAAGAGCAAAGCCATGTCCTTTCCATTCAGCTACACTGTGTAAATTCCCGTACTCCCAAAGCACCAAAAGAAGGGTCAAGATCAAGATTGTTAATTAATATATTATATCAAATCTATGAGACTGTGAGGAAAGGAGAAAAAAAAAACACTACCAATTATCTTTGACACACTACCAGTCCAATGACTAATTTCCAAGATGCTAAATGCAACAAAAGTGTAACAAAAGCAAACATCTTCAAATTGATGAAAAGTAGTCATTATGTTACGATTAGTGCCTGAGCACTTCGTGGGTCAGTACTTCTGCACAGTGCTGGTGTCGGGGCACATATGTTCCTCTGGAGAGATAAGATCACATATAGCAGCGATAGCTATCTTAAGTCAATGAACAACACCAAATGCTGTCAGATTGCAGAGAAATGGGAGATAGGAGTTGGGAGAAAAATCTCAAGGGGATTCTTAGAGATATTCACGTTGAATCTTAAGAACAGTCTTATGAAGTGAAGCTTTGTTGGAAAAGACAAAAGAGCTGATGTTTGTGGAAATGATAGGAAATGATGCAGTGTAGCCAGGTTCAGGAAGCAAACTGCTTGGCTTCAAATCCTCGTTCAGCCTTGCTTTAAACTCTTCACACTTGGGTTTGCCCATTTGTTAGAGGAAATTAACTTTGTTACTGTAATTAGAACATTACCTATCACACATTAAATAATCAGTAGGAATTACCTCAGGAAAATAACAATGATGGCATAGTAAGGCCGTTATACAACCTCCACATGTTTCTGGCTTTGCATCTTTAATGATAAGTGTCACTCTCCACATTCCAGTACAAGACAAAATTTAGACCCAGCTTTTAGGCAGAAAACTCTGTGTGCATGTGTATGTACATGTTTACATGTGTGCACACATGTACATGTGTATGTTGATTCTCAATTGATTCAAATAAAAATAACCAGTATGCTCAAGTGGCACCTTTGGGATGGCATAGCCCAATCCCCTTCATATGTAAAGGGCTGTGTTGACTGAACAAGTGGGGAACAGGAAGAGGGCCTAGAAGGAAATGCAATATGACAGATCGTAAAGGTCTAGTGACCTCTTTATTGTCTCTTAAACACAGGAACACATTAAAGTACAAGCTAATTCTGTGGCCTAGAATATTCTTTCCCTAGTTGCAATTTGACTTGCTTGTTTATATATCTTTCTTTAATGAAATATAATGTGATCATAGGAGCTGCATCTGACAACCCTATGTAAAATGGAACTGAAGCAGTAACTCTGCTGTCACTTTCTATTACCTTAAAGATATAGTTCTTATTAACACATATTTTACATGTATATATGGTGTGATCAAAATATATGGTGATTGTTGAATTTTTAAAAAATCTTTAGTGAAGGACATAAAAATAAAAGTCCCATAAAAATATTCCCCACCCTGAATACACTTATCTCAATACTCTTACAATTTTCTGAAGCAGTTCTAGAGGTCCTCTTTTGTGAGTTTCTTTACGAAGTACATTAGATATAAGTATGCTGCCAAGTGCCACCCAGGAAAGTCAAGCTTGTAAAAATATGACAGGGTGTCCTGGCCTTGACCACCTTATTCACTGCATCTGGCACCAGGTGACTTCTGATTCTTCTCTAAAGTCAAAATTGCGTGAAAGGTAACGTTCTGAGTGGATTCAGGGAATCAAAACAGTCATGACATCTCAACTAAAGACATGAAAAAGAGCTTCAGGATCTGCTTCAGAAAGTGGCAAGTACAATGGAATAAATATACCCAAAGTGAGGGGCCGTCTTTTGAGTGATCTCAGTTGCAATGTGTCTTTTAATGTAATAGTGGTTTTTTAAAATAAACATTTCCCATCTTTCTGAAACACATCTTTTATTTATTTGGTTGTGTGTTTGTTATTCTCTGTCAACTAGAATGGAAGTTCTAGGGCAGCAAGTCTCAGGTAAGAATAAAAGAGAAAAACAGTAAATCCTCAAAGCTAAAAGACTTGGAGAAATTTATACAAATAATACTGTCAATGAATTCCACTGTCCCAGATGTGCCAACTTTTAATGACAACAAAAAGTTGCGAAGCCCTGTGGAGGGTAATGTTTGCAACCTCAACACATATTCATATCCCAGTCTCTGAATGAAAAAGTATCCTAGATAAGGATACCTCCTCAGGAAGCAATCCAGTTTTTTGGGCACATTCATTGAAAACTTTAGCTCAGAGGGTTGGAATTACTCGCTGTGGCAGGCTGAATAACAATCTCCAAAATACACATGTTCTAAACTTCTATATGCTAAAAGGGACTTTACAGATATATGCTAAGGATTTGGAACCAAAGACATCTAGCTTAGGCTCTACATATTCTCTCAATATTCTCTGAAAGCAGAGAGTCTGAAAGAGATTTAAAAACAGAGAAGCCAGCAATGGGATACTGGAAACAAGATGGCCCTTTATTGACCTTGAAGATGGAGGAAGAGGAAAGGTGCTAAGAAAAGTAAAAAGCACAGCTCTAGGGCTTGGGGGGCTTAGCCCAGCAGCACAAGTGCCGGCCTGGAAAGCACAAAGTCATGAGCTTGATCCCTGGTACAAAAAAAAAAAAAAAATCAAAACAAAAAAAAGTGCAGCTCTGAGAAAGGATGGAAGGGGAGGACATGGATTTTCCTCTAGAACCTCAATATCCCTACATTTTTAACCTTGTGAAACTGACCTTAGATTTCTGATGGCCAGAACTATAAGAGAGTAATGCATGTCATTATAAGCTATTGAGTTGGTGGTTATTTGTTACAGTGGCCACAGGAAGCTACTACACTAGCCACGGTGCCTTTGTGTTCATTGCTCCTTGGACGTCCTACTATGTGCCATTTGTTTAGGGCCAAAATTGTTTGGAACAGCAGACCTAGCAGTCTTAAGAGCTTTCAGATTTGGGTTTGGACGAGGACAGAACTGTTTCTTACAGTTCATTCCCTCAAAATGTTAAGTCATTGGCTATAAGGAGGAGTTTCCACTGTAAAGACAAAGTGAGCCACCCGGTGGAAATTCTATGAGACCTACTATGTACAGATGTCTGAGCATAAATGAGCTTTTGACCATGTAGTCTAAGCTCAATTCTACTTGTCCTCCCCTGTGAAGAATGTGGAGTGTGAAGAATCCATAAGGAAAGCATAAAAAGAAAGCTTTGAAACCCAAAATGTTCTATACATAAAAGGTAATATTTATTGCCTAATAGTGTATTTGGGACACGCATGAGCTCAATAAATATAATATTTAAATGATGACCTTGTTAATCAGTTTAAAACCTAAGGGAAAATATTTATGCGGAAAAATGCCTAATAGTTTTAGCATAGTAAAATGTTTTTACAAAACTCGTAATTAAAACAATCTGATTCGGTATAGGAATTAGCAGTCAGATCACTAGAATACTATAAATCTTTAAGAGTAGAATAAAAATTTAATCTGTTATGAGTATTTAAAATAGTGGGGAAAAAACAGATTGGAAAACAAATGTCGTCAATAAAACCAGGTAATCTTTGAAGGAGAAGGCTTGGTTCTGTATCTAACGCCTTGTCACAAGAAATGTTAGTGGGTTTGTAACTGAAAAAAATACAGATGACATTCTTGATAAAAACCACAGGTTAATATCAGTTTTACTTTGGATTTCAAAGATATTTTTGAAACTTTACACAAGTACAAAGGCTAAAAATTTTAAAATTTCTAAGTTTGCTTCCAAAAAAACTTTAACTTGTATGTTCACAAAGAGAACACCCATATATGTCCAAAGATTAAAATCTGAAAAATAATTAGGGATTTAAAAATAAAAATTTAACTAAAGGAGATTTATTGCAATATATACAATATTTGTATATATTTATGTAGATATATACACATATGCATAAAAACATGGAAGGAAATCACCCATGTTAACACTAGCTGTATTTTGCAAGTAGGATTACAGTACAGTGTGTATATCTATTTGACTATTAGAGATATGCATTTGATTTGCATATTTATTTGATAATTTAATTCCACTCTATTATCTTGTTTCACTTTATATAGGTAAAAGTTGTAGGTTTAGCATCACAACAGAGTAGAATATACCCTGAAGGAAAACAGAAACATTTTAGAATTCTGTATCCATCCTTCTATTTATTGCTAGAGATTTCATTGTTCCTGACAGGCAAAATGGAATGAGTAGACAACTGTACATAGAGTATTTTCAAGTTTCTGCCTTTATTCTATCAAGTGAACATCAAATTTCACTGTGTGTGTAATGTAAGTAAGTTCTACTTTGGGTGATGTACAATATTTTTAACATAGTTTTGGAACCAGACCTTATATGAATACAGTTTTACCATACAGATGTGTTTTATTCGATTTTTGTTTAACATATTTTGTTACAGATACAAATTTAATTTGTCCCCCTGCCCCATCCGGCTTTCTAAGGGTTACACATCTTTAGCCATTGTAAATTAGGGCGAGGGGTAGCACTTCTTTCCAGTTGGCCCACAAATGCTTTTCTTCCAAGAAATATAAAGTGCTAAAGGAGAGGGGAACCAGCATTCCTGTTGCTACTATTTCTGCTTTGATTTAGTGTTAGTCAAATAATATCTCTTCCCTCTGACTGTGAGGTGAGCACTGAGACGTGGAGGCCCAGGGTACAGAGGGAGGAGGCAGGAAAATCACCCGGCAGAGTCTGCTGACTGGGGCTCATCCTGCAGAAAGCAGCTGGAGTAGAAGAACACAGCAGACCAGGAGATGGAATGCCTAGGAGAGCCTGGCAGCATCAGCTGATATAGTCAGCAACACCCCTGACGTTTACATTTGCTAACTTGTTTAAAAATTAAATAAGATTTCCTTTAAGCAGAGAAGAGACAGGAGAAGAAGATATCTGTGGATTTAATTACACATGCCTCAGAAGAAACAAAAATACTCTTCCGCTGTCAAAATATGACTAGCAGTGTTAAAAGGCACACAATGTGTGATGGTAGAAATATTTGCAACCAGTTCACTTTCCTGTCCTCCATGAAGTGTCTACTGGGTTCCAGACTGACAGTGATGGTGGTGAGGACGACATTTGTTTTGGGTGCTGGCTGGCGGTCCTGGAGACTGGTTTGTGTTTTCTGAACACAGTAATCCAGATGTCTCGAATACTGCGAGAGTTTGTTCATGCTAGCGGAAGCTCAGGACAGGCCAGGATGGTCCGACCAAATGCACCTGCCACAGGGAGAAGCCACTCACTGAGACCCAGTGGAATGAGTAATTTGTGTAAGGAGGCTTGATTGATGTGCTACTAATATAAACTGGTTTGGAGACTCCATTTCTAGAACTCTGGATTTTATAATGGGATGAGTTAGCGTGCAGGTGAGGGCCCTTTTCAGCTTGTTGTTTAGGTTGTGAAAGATCTGATAAGACATATCGGACAAGGCAGATGACCGTCATATAAGAAACCAGTAATCTGGGTAGTAAGGTTATGAGGAAGTTTTAAATTCTTGCATGTGCTTTTTCTTTTTTTATATCCTTCAAATTCTTCACCGTCCATACATTTTTATATTGCAAACAAACAAAAGTGTTAACAAATCTGCAGCACTGAAACACATCTCTGTTTTGCCCATCACACTTGTTTCTGCCTAAAAATTGGGCTTTTCTAAAGTGCAGCTATTTGCTCAGTTAAGGATATTATTTGTTGGGAAATTGTATCTGCGCTGTGATACAATCTAAAAAGCGCAAGCCTCATAAACTGCCAAGGTTTTCTATTCTCCCTTGTTGCATTCCTTCTAAATGGGGTAATGACCCTGGTTTGGTGTTAATTTCATACTGCCAGATTGCCAAGCCTACCCAAGACAAGAGAACAAAGAAGTGGAAAGGAAATAAAGGCAAAGTGAAATGTTCCAAACCTTTTTAAAAGTCACTAATCTTCCTTCTGTTCGAGGCCTCTTGAATGACCTTCCCTTTCAGCAGAACACACGGAGGTAAAGCCTTCACTACCTAGATGGCTGTGTCTGCCGCAGAGGTGGACGAGGACAAGTCCAGCCCTCTCTGCTTTGCTTCCCAAGACTGTAGCATAAGAATGGTTACCTTAAAAGCTGGTCAATAATTTATCTGAAAGAATTTGTGGAATTTTGTTGTTCCTTGACTTTTCTCGTTAAAAGGAAGACCAAAACAAGCAAAAGCCCTAAAAACTTTTTTAAAATGAATGTTACAGCAGGTTCCCACTTTCAAAACAACCACCAGTGTAATCACGAACAAGGCAATGCGCCCCTGCGGTTTGCTCTGTCACAAAGTGGCCAAAACTCACCGGCCTGTGGTTTCATTGTTCTGTGCTAAGGAAGAACAGAAAGAATGAAATAATTTTTTTCCCCAAATTTAATTCTCTTGCTTGTTTTCACAGTTGTTTTCCAGTCAGTGTTTTCTTCCAGCTTGGCCACAACCACTCTTGTTTCTAGAAATGGGGTTAGCCCTCTGTGGGGCTCACCAAACACCGAAACCCAGCACAGCTCCGGCTGTCCGGTCTGGGTTGCCATTACAAAGAGAGACTTCTATGTTTTGTTGTGAGGCTTTCAGATTTTCAGAGAAATTTTAGGTTTTCTATCTCATTGAAAGGAGACAATTGACAAAATGTGCTCTTCCCTAATATTTAACAGGTGAGAGAAACCTTGAGGGTTCTAGAAACTTCTGCAGGAAATTGTTGGTTTGAGGCCCCTGGTGTTCAAAGCACCTTTCCTTTTCACAGCTTGGTGAATCTCTAGGGGGTCTGGTGCTAGAGCCTGGATCCTGGCTCTGTTAGAATCACACAGTTTAGCAGCAGCACCCTGCCTCTTGAAACTCTTGTCTTGAATGTAATCCAAAGCCAGAAAGAGATACCTAATATTGTCTTCCATTTGTCTCCCTATTCTCCACCCACATTTTCCTCAGGGTCCTCTTCATTTATCTTTTTAAAGAAATTATTATTTGTAGTGAAATTATTTGACTTATAAGGTACTATATTTAGAGTTTAATAAATTATTTTACCTCAAATACATGTATAACCACCCAACTCAAGGCACAGCCCTTTCCCAGTCCCTGCAAGTTCCTATCAGAACCCCTGTGTCCTCTGAGGCACCATTAATCGGACATGTACTGATCACTGTTTTGGTGATTTCTTGTTTTATCACACAAATATGAATCTATAATCAATGTAGTTTAGTTTTTCCATTTTGATTCTTTAAATAAAATCAGACACTATGTATTCATTTACGTCGGCTTCTTTTGGCCTTTTAATTGTAAATTTTATCTGTGAGGTTGGGTAAACGTAGAACTCTTCACTTTTCATTGCTTTATAGTATTCTATTGTATGATGACAACAATATGTCCATCTATTCCACTGCTAGACACCATCTGGGATATCAGGCTATTTTTTTGGTCTTTTTCCTTTTTATTGGTACCAGGGATCGAACTCACGACTGCCTGCTTGCAAAGCAGACACTTATGCCGCTGAGCTAAATCCCCAGACCCCGGCTATTAAAAACAATGTTGGTGCAGTGCCTATACATTTTATCCCAGAGTACATGGTCAGATAGTTGTTGTCTATGCCTGAGAACAGAACCAGTAGAGTGTAAGTTTTGTGAACCTTGTACCTGACTCACATGATGCCTGAGTTTTCCTGCATGATTGTTCCAACTTACACTACCACTGGCAGCACAAGAGCATTCCCGCCACTGTAGATCCTCACCAACACATGAAATTATCCAGTTTTTAAAAAAATGACATTAAAATGATCTGCAGATTTAAATTGGTTTGGATGAAATGAAAGGAGGATAAAATAATTTCCTTAGAGTCATACAAATGAAAGCATAGTTATTACAGTAAGAGGGCTGACTTTGGATAAAGTGTGTTTGAATTTAAGTCCAAACTTTCTACTTAGCTGTGTGACCTCTCTGTGCTTTATTTCCTGTATCTATCAAACCTGATGGTAACACTGTCTGTCATAGTTCGGATTGAGAATGTCCCCCAAAGACTCAGCCTAGGTGTGGCATTTGGAAAGGGATTGGAGCCCCGGGGCAGAGCTGAATGTTCTGGTAGGAGGTGGGGTCTAGTCAGAAGAGGGATCCCTGGAGCAGGCCTGGAAGGACACGCTGTGGCTCCCGCAGGCTCCTCCCTTCTCTCTCTGCTTCCCGGCTGCCATGACTTGGGCAGGTTTCCTCCACTTCTCCCTCCCGCCATGCTGTTTCCGCGTTGAGTCTGCTGAGCGTGGACTGAACCTTATGAAACCGTGAGCAAAAGCAATCTCTTCTCCTTTAAGCTGCCAGCGTTGGGTGCTGCGCCGCGCTGCCCCCAGCTTCACAGAGTCGCTGTGAAGAGGACATGATGTCACGAGAAAGTAGTTACATTCGGCCAGCATCCATGAGTGCTACCCAAATGCTCACCACTATCACTATCTTTCCTAAATAAAAAGTGAGAATGCCTGGTATCAGATGTTGCTAATTTGAAGGCTGATCTGTAGGAAGTAAAATTGCATTATTTATTAGTACAATAAACGTTTGAAATACTGTGGGGTTCAAGAAAACAAGGGTTCTGGCTCATGCCTATGAGGGACTCATAAGTTAGGAGCAAATCTAGGCATACCCACAAGTTACCTAATAATGATTTCATCTACACAGAGGAGGAAGGTATTTATTAAGCCAAAAATGCACAGTTAAAACAGGCTTTAGATTGGCAGCAACGGTTGCAGTCTGAATAGGAGTTCAGAAAAAAAAACCAGGGAGAAAGGATTTTTTTTTGTCTGAATAAAGATAAAAGCCTGAGGAAAAAGTTATCAAAAACTCTATTTGGAGAGTTTATATGGGTAGGAAACACTCCTTTTCTTTTATTTATCTTTTTAGCACTGGAGTTTGAACCAAGCGCCTTTGTACAGGTGCGTGACCTGGAAGGGTGGACCTTATTCTCTGGCTTCTGCTTTCTCTCTCTCTCTGCTTCCTGGCTGTTTCATGAACACATGAATTCAGACGCCTTAAAAAATGAGAGAAGTTTTCACTGGTTAAATCAGAGCTACATCCATAGGCATTTTCATTTTTCTTTTTGAGACAGGGTCTTGTTAAATCATAAGTTGCCTTGACTGCTCTCGAACTTGTGACCTTTCTGCCACTGTCTCCCAGACCTCTTGCATCATAGGATCTATCACCACATCTGACTTTAACATGTCTTTTTAAAATATCAGAAAGTGACAAAAAGTTGGATTGAGGTCAAATTGTAAAAGGTTTCCAATATAATGTTAAAAAGCTTGGAATTTATTCCTTAGCTAATAGAATATTTACTAAAACAATAGTTTTTTGTTTGGTTTGGGTTTTTATTTTTTGGAGACAGGTCTTTCTAGGTAGTCTAGACTGCCTAGAACTCACTGTGTAGCCCACGCTGGCCTCAAACTCTCAGCAATCCTCCTGCCTCAGCCTTCCAAGTGCTGGGATTACAGATGTTTGCCTCCACCCGCAGCTAAAACTATGGTCAAACTCAGAGGAATGGCCTGTATCTTCAGGTCAGGCTGATAATAAGCTACGGAATAGTTTGAAAGAGAGGAGAAGGAGGTATGTGGTGACCATACTTGATTCCTTACTAGGGACACAGGACCACAAGCACTTTGCTCCTGGCTGGCTCTGATTTGCGACAAGGTTCTCTAGGTGTGGTCGTAGGGCTCTGGTTCCACTCACCGCCACATCTTCAAAGCTATGAGGGCAGGAGGAGGTCTCTTCCTCACAGCTGAACTGCTGATTTGCCAGGTCATTTAAATTGGTGATGGTGGCAGAAAGGAAAAAGAAAGAAAGAAAGAAAGAAAGAAAGAAAGAAAGAAAGAAAGAAAGAAGAAAGAAAGAAAGAGAAAGAAAGAAAGCTGCCTCTTTACCATGGGAAGATCATTCAGGACATGATTAAGCAGACCAGGCAAGAAGTTGCTAGAAAAATTAAATGAAAAGTAGGGTACGATGTGATCAGATCTGACAGCCCATGTGATTTGTGGGAGCTGTGCAGGGCGGCGGGTGCGGGAAAAGGCAGAAGGCGCCTTTTGCGAGGATGGGGGCTGCACTGTAGGGCGTGCGCTGACACCATGGGCTGAGATCCGAAGCACAGGAGGGGGAACAGGTTGGGGGCCAGATGAGTCCCGTGGACGTGCCGAGCTTGCAGTCCTGGCAGTCAGGCTGTGCGGAAAGGTTGAGCAGGCAGATGGATGAGCAGGTCTGTAGGAGGCACACTACCCTGCACACAGCTTCCCTATAAATGTTTATTAAATACAAAATAAACAAAGATGAAACCAGTTTCCATGTTAGCGCTCCCACCGTGGTATTTACTGGTTGGGTCCTTGCCGAAGCGAGGCTCGAATATATCCAACTTAAAAATAATTGCTTCACCCTTCTGTACCCTCCCAGATGGCTCTCCTGCCAGTTCCTGATTCAGTTTTTAAAAGTAATCAAGCTTCTGAGAACATGAAAAAGGCATATTCGAATGCACTGTTGTCCTTGCCCTGGTGTGCTTGGTTACTGGACAGAAGGATTTAAAGAAAACATTTTCAACTATGTGTAAGTGGAACAATGGCCAGGGTCCTGAACTTGTCCAGAAGTGGACATGTTTTGCAGCCTCATTGTACTATGGCAACTACCAACCTTGATCTCATGCTGCGGAGATTTTGTCTTCTTGTCACTATTTTGGTAATGGGTTCCTGCCTTCAGCTCCAGAAATTTGCTTAGAGCATGTATTGTTGTCCAAACATAAGAAGGTAGCTCACATCCTTTGTTCTGGCCTTTAAATTACAGTCTTACAGAAAGGTGTAGGGACAACTCCCACCAAAAACGTCTCATTCCAGTGCTGCAGTACCATGAAGCCAGCAAATTTCATCCTCATACTGTATTCCACAAAATCACCCCATCATTCCCACCGTTGTATTATCTCTTCTATTTGTGTCTGCGACTCATCTGTCAGCTCCTCCACAGGCAGGTAGAGCTTTCAAAATCTTAGTCTCCCTCCCAACAGCCTTGGCCATTGCTTTGTGCAGAGGAAGTTTTCAAAGTATGTAAGGAA